TCTTGAGGAAGGTTCAGAGTACTTCTATCGAATTTATGTACATACATATGTATGTTCCTCGTCAGGGCTTTGAGGATGTTTACATGAGATTGAAATAATTATTTTCACATATTAAAATAATCAAAAATTAAATTAAGGCAAATACTGTAAATATGCACGTTTCTATCCTAACTATCATTTAGAATAAAAATTGAAAGTAAATATTTTGTGATTAACAAAACCTATTTTTTCCCATTTACACACCTACAAAGTATCTAAAAATACATACCTATGTATGTACATACACAAGTGAACTTCCATATAATCCCAGAAATGTAGGCTGCAAATTACAACTAATTTATGTAAATATGTATGTATGTATATATATATATGTATGTATGTATGCATACATGTATCTATGTATGTATATACATAGGTTGATTTTTCCGCTGCCAAATTCATTTGGTACTCGCGATGAAAAGTTTAATATATACATACATATGTGCATACATACATACGTATGTATATTCCTTTTCTTTTCTGTGTTCTCAACTAAATGCAAACAATTCTTGTTTGACTTATTTATTCTTTTTTTTCATTGTTTTTATATTATTCAGTTGTGCTGAGTATGTGTGTTTTTCATTTCTGTTGTTTGTTTCTCATTCTACGGGTAAATGCGCCAAACAGAAACGTGATGAAAATTGGCAACGTTGCATTGTACGCTGTGTTACTGCCCACAGTTATTTGGAATTTTCTTCGAGTTGCTGAGTGAATGTGGGCACCCTTGCTAATGTTGTTGTTGTTTGTATAGCTGACGACCAACATACATAAGTATCAAGAATAATAGCCGTGGGCATATGAGACACACACACACACACACACACAAATTATACAAGATTATTGTTATTGCGAGTCGGCGCTGTAGTAGAATTATAATGAACAAGCAAAAATAGAAATAAATCGACTCAACAGCGGTCAGACGAGTTGAGCGACGAAATGTCAGACCAACCGACGAATGCTCGAACAATCAAACGAACRACCTCTGCGTGCGCGACGTATGTATGTATATTTATTGAGGTCTGTATATGCATGTACGTTGATAAATCTTTTATGTGCAAATAAAATCAGCAGCAAAGTAGGGACGATGGGGAGAGCACAGTCAGGCAAAAAATGCCGTAATAACAAGTTCGCTGCCTGTGCTGACGTCGTTGTTGAGGCTGCTCGGGCGCTCGTAACATTCTACTCTGTGAAATAGCGCTTCAAATTGTTGCGAAGTTGACGTCGTTCGTATTTCTTCTCTGTATTGTTTTTGCTGCAGTTAGCAGCTGTCGGGTATTTTATTTCACTCATTCGTTTGTATGAATGTGAGGTGTTTCTCATTTTTTGCTTCGGCAGTCGCATTCACCAACACAAGCGCACTCATACATCCCGTCGAACACGTTCAATTATAATATATATGTAAGTAGATATCTTATATATGTATGTATGTATGATTGAATATGTACCTTTTGTCGTTGTTATTATAATTATTATATTCTGAGCATACGTTGTTGCGGTCGTTATATTGCTGTTGTTCGTTGTTGGACACATGGTTGGAGAGGGGGTGTACAAAAGAGCAGGTATCCGATAGCATGAAAACGGAAAAAACCAAAGAGAAATTAAAAACAGTACAGCAACAATAACAATGTAAATTGTCAAGGGAAAACGTTCGAAAGGGGGAAAGTACCGCCGGCTTCAGACTAGCTTGCGTCGCTGCCAAACTTTTTCTGTGACTGCATTATGAATTTGTTTTTGTTGTTGCTATTATTACTACAATCCGTTTTTTTTTTGCTGCTGCTACCGATCGCTATACTTCAGTGCACTGCATTGAATTCGTTGCTGATTTTGTTCAGTTCAGTACATTTTTCTTTTAATTTACATATACATATGTACAAATGAATGTATATTTTTTTATTCTGTGATGGCTACTGCTGGCTTTGTTGTTATTTTGTTATTGGAAGGCTTCACTGTTGTTGCGTTTTTGTTTTCCGTTGAACTGCACTTACGTAGATATGTATATAAATATGCATATACATACATATATATATATATACGTTTGTATAGTATACATACAGCTGCGAGCAGTGAAATAATAGTGGGTGTTAGAGCTTTACACATCTGTGAGTTATGTAAAATGCCAAACAATTTTAACATCCATTGAAATGCATAAGTGGATCATATTTTCCACGCTATGTTTATTACTAAAAATATTTAGATTTGAATATGTACCAGATATGTTTATTTACAAAAATGTGTTTATGTATGAAACTTGTTGGGAGCAGTAAAATAGTAGTAAATTACTAAAAATCAAGAAGTACTGAAAGATTTTTGCAAGTTTTGTCTATAGGAGATCTTAGTACTTGGTAGCATGATCATGATTTTTGATAACTGCACTTCATCGCTTCTTCAGAGAATCTACGAGACTGGCACATTTCCGATGGTATTAGATTAGATTAGATTTGAATATGAGGAATGCACCGCGACCTTAGGTCTATTGTGCCCTCTCCTAACTCACATCGACTCACTTAGCCCCAGCGCACCGATGAAGTCCAGTAGCCTGCCCGGTGCTAGTGAGGCGATGCGATCCCTATCCGGTAACATTGATCCAAGGGCCTTGAACCTGCGTCTGCAGACTGCTGTACAGTCGATCAGCAGGTGTTCTGGAGTTTCAGGCTCCCTGTCGCAGAACCGGCAGTTTGCGCTGGCGGATAGGCCCATGTTGTATAGGTGCCTATTCAGCCTGCAATGACCAGTGTACCATGCGACCAGCAGCCTGATTTTGTTCCTGGGGAGGTTAATGATAACTTTGAACCTACTTAGTTTGTATCCTCCAATAAGCAGCTTGGCATGCCTCAAACCGTGTGTTAGTTGCTAATGCTCCTTTCTGCCCACTCCTTCTTCCTTGCGGAGTAGCTCGGCTACTCGAAATTCAAACCGCCAAGCTTCATAGTTTTTGTGCTAAATCTGGGGTCGTACTCTCTGTTAGGGGAGCGTCTTGTTGCACCATTTCTCAATCGGTCCTTTGGCAAATTTAAGACAATTTGCTTTATGATTTTCTTTAATAACGGTACTTATCAAAGACTGCGGATATATAAATTATGTTCATGTAGAAGTCTTCTCACTGTATGAACACCGTAGGCCAGGTTCAGTTCATTCCGAATCTCCATAGCTGACATTCTAGGTTAACTATTGGTGTAAAATTCTCGGAAAGAATCCATATTGCGCCCCTTTTTTCGTCTTTTTTTATAAATAATTGCATTGTGAGTCGTTGTGGCTTAACACCCTACAATTCTTTCCACTTCCTTGTAGGATTGGCCGTTGTTTATGACAGATTGAATACATTCTCATTTTTCGTCACTCGTTCATATACATACTATGTATGTCTGCATATCAACATCTATTTGCACACATACATATGTATGTGGTGTTTATATGTATGTTTTACTTTAATTGCTTTCTTGTTTACATACATATGCTATAGTGAGCCGATCTGAATAATTTCTTCTGATATTACATAATTTCTATAAGCAAAAACTCATAAGAAATTTCGTGAAGATTGACGACACATCACAATAAGGAAGTTTTCCATGCAAGCATTTGATTCTGATCATTCAGTTTGTATGACAGCTATATGCTATAGAAACCCGATCGAAACAATTTCTTCGGAGATTAAAGTTGTTACCTTAAGCAGTAATTCATGCCAAATTTCGTGATGATACTACGTCAAATGTGAAAGCTTTCCATACAAGAACTTGATTCCGATCATTCAGTTTGTATGGCAGCTATATGCTATCGTCAACCGATCTGAACAATTTCTTCGGGGATTACATTGTTGCTTTAGAAAATAACCTGTGCCAGAATAGAATAGAATATATATATAATATCGTATATATACAGACAGACGGACATGGCTAAATCCACTCATCTCAACATACTGATCATTTATAGGGTCTCCGACCCTTCCTTCTGGTTGTTACAAACTTGGTGACAAACTTAATGTACATTCCCTGTTGAAGGTATAAAAATTATAAGAAATCTTATAAATTTGACTCCGCCATCAATGTATATACATACATAAGTTTATGTATATACATAAGTTTATGTATATACATAGGTATACATACATGTGTATGTGCATGTTTGTAAATGTCCGATCAACTTCGGATTACTCAAAAGAGTCGAATTTATGAATTCAGAATGGATTCACATTTACTGTATGTGCATATGTACATCTATGAAGTGAAACTCTATATTATAGTCTATTGCGTTTACCAAATCTACAAAAGCTTCAACAGTAAATTTAGATTTCATTATAAACATTACATGGACGACATGATACATATGTATGTTCATATAGACCAATGCAGAAGGCTTTGAAATTGGTAAAAAGTTAAAGAAATTCAAGGTTGGTTTCAACCCTTTGGAAGCGAAAGATAAAATAACAACATTAAAAGATATTTTACGGGTTATCTGTGCTTGTTAAGAGAAAGAAAGTAGGATAGTATATTAAATTTATACAAAATGTCGATAAAATTAGAACTTTGTATTATAGTATATGATGAACGTTTTTGTTTAACTTCTTTATTGTACTAAAGGTAAAACTCAACAAAAATGCTTTCATAACCACGTTCGTATATACTTATGTATGTATATGCAATCATAAAATCTTCAAACATGTGTGCTTGAAATTATAAAACGTGTCCGTTCAGATTAAAGTTGTTCCGGGCTTAACACATGTTGTATTCGAACAGAGAGAACCAGTTACAACTCCAGCATGTATGTCATACTATTTCGAACCGTTTCGTTGCTATGGCGTTTTGTGCGGCCATCATGGATTTACGCACACAAATTTAACTCTGGCACGAATCTGAGCAGTACAAATGTAAGAAATGTACTCATTACTTCTCTTTCTGCCGTTTTGTTGTGGATGACAGACAGAATTCAATGGCCGCTTTATGAACTTTTATGAATCGGTACACAATTTATAGATATAAGCTATTGTTTGCTTTTTTACTCCACTGCGGTTGAAACGTTTTATAAATATTCACCATACGTAACTAGTAGCGTCAACACTGATCAACTCGTTGTTTGCGGCATTATCAGTTATAAGCTATTTGGCAGAGGGTTTAGATGTGCAGATAAGATGTTAATAGTTTTGTTAAGAATTATTCAATAATTAATTGCATTAACACAAATATATTATTAACTCGAAGACGTTGAACCGCAAAAAAATAAATAAAATAAATGTCACAAATATACTGCTCTAAAAATATATAATTCGGAATTATTCAAGATGTTAATGCATTTGTTCGGCGCAATTTGACATGTTTTATAGTGGCTTCACAATTATTAAAGAAACGGGCGTTACTACAGTGGAACTCAAAATTTGTATACACTGCTAATCAATGAAATGGTAAATAAAATAGTTTAAAATTTATTTAAAATATTCTAAACATCTTTTATCGCAGATATTTCACTGAATCGACGTTCGTATTGGGGACATTAACGGTTGTGTACAAATTAAGTGGACAGCCTGCAAATACATATTTTTCTGCACTTCTAGAAACAGTTTTGTTAATATGACTACATTGGCCACGTTATCCAACCCAGTCGGAAATGATTCGGCCAGTACTGTAGGAGGTAGTTCATCAACAGCAGGTGCTGGGAACAGCAACAATGTTGAGCGACGATGTGAAAATGCTGACTGTAATGTTATTAAGTTAGTGTCAATGGTACCGAAACGCAAAATTACACAATTTGTAACAGAGCCTTCTGTAATGGAGAAACCCATGCTTATAAATGGTTTTACGACTGTTTTTCAAGTGGAAGGAAGTTCTGCAAAATTAAGTGATTTAAAAAATCCCAATCCAAACACAACACCCCAACCGAAAAGTATTTTTCGTATCGTACCAAATACACATGCTCACATTGTGAATTATGTTGTGGTCGATGCTGATGGGGATTCTTTGCGTAAAATCAATGAGGGTGATCCGGCTACAATGCGAAAATTACTTGAGTCGCAAAAGGTGAGTGCCGATCAAATGTTGAAGAAGCTTATGGCAGGTCATGGCCCCAGCGTTCCTATTGTCTGCAGCGCTTCGCCTGCGTCAACAAGCGTGAACACAGTATCTTCTGCGACATCGTCAAATGCACGTAGTGTGGTAACTTCGAACACATTTTCGACAACTGCAACCACTACGACCAGTAATGCAACAAATGCAAATATTCGAACAAATGTTACACCAGTTACAGGAAATGCTACACCCAATGGTTCTGCTAAGTCATCTGCCATACAATTACCTATTCGAATGCACCCAAACTTGAAGATAACTGCTGTGGTAAGTAGAGACACAATTGGACAATTGGTAGAACCAAATACTGGTACCCAGCAGTCTCTACAAGTGGCTCCACCAGCTGCACCTACTGTTCCATTAATCACGCCCATACCATTAGCGAATTTGCAGAGTTCGCCTGCTTCTTCTATTTCTACCCAACCAGCGGATAAGTAAGTTGTAATTGGAATGCCAACTTTGACATTAATTAATAGTTAAAATATATTTTCTTATTCACATAGATCAAATATTGATAAAATGCAGGCAGAACTTGCGGAATTGCGTCGCACTGTTGCTATGTTGGCCGAGGCTATGCCCATGAATCCTCAAGCTCAGAAAGCACTCCAACAAACAACTCAACAACGTGGTGTAGCCGTGAAAAGACAGCGCATAAATTAAGGGGTTAGATGTAGTCAGAATATGAAAAAATTACATTTTTAATCTTGTTTTTTTGGCAGTAATATATTTTCTTTTATAAAAGTAGAAATACATAGTAACAAAAGTTGTTTCATAAATGCTTGCTATCAGTACGAAAGTTTATACTGGAAAAGCGGTTATTAATACAAAAATTAGCAGAAGAGAGGACTTGTTGAGAGCGAAAAAGCTACTAGCCAAAAAAAGCTACTGCGTTATAAAGAAATCGTTGTTAAAACGTATGTCCCACTAATCCCTTTATAAAAATGTGTCCTAGGAAATTTTTTTTTCGTGATTTTCAGAAAACCAGCTCTTAATTGTACACTTAAATTTCTTTTTTAACACTATTTTGTTTTAATACGGGCTGAAAATAAAACAGCTTTTAAATTTCTACATGATTTTATTTTATTTAGCACAATTGAAATTTTCTTGGCCATAAATTTTATTTGTCAGATTGAGGCACAATTCCGATTTCTTTGGCGCCGCGATCTGAAGGTACCGTTGGAAAGAGGAAGTCCTCCTGATTAAAGGGTTATAGGTACCGCAAACGCTTAGTTTAGGAGATATTCGACCTTAAAGTTCAAAAATTCGCAAAATTCGTACATTTCAAGACGCTATTTCACCACATTAAACACACTTTATTCACATTTTTCACTTCAAATTAATTAAATTACACTATAAACTTGTAAATAACTCCATGTCTTACACTTTTTGCAAGTTTTTTATCTAAAAAATCTGCATTTTAAAAATTACATATTACACTCGTTTTTACCCCATTTGTTTACCAAAAATTACGACGATATGGAGCGCTGCCATGTGATGATAAGGCAATTCGCTGAAATTCCTCTTTTTCCCAAAAATTCCTCTATTCATGCATATTTATATTTTCTTTTTTAAATTTATTAAGCAAATAAGTAATATTATATACATGTATTAGTAATATTATATAATAATATTGTATATACATATGTATAAGTAATATTATATAATATTACGTAATAAAGTGTAAAGTATATTAGTACAGTATGAAAATTCAAAATTTCGTTCAATATGAGTGCATGGTAACCAACAAATATAACCACTTTATAACAAAAACTCAATATATTTTTTTATTTTTAACGTAGAAAGGAGTATTCCGCGAAAGTACTTCAGTCCCCCCGGGTATTCGCTCGACCAGGGTTATTTTTTTTTTTTTTTTTTTTAAAGTACTTCAGTCATCCCGACATATATACATTTTATAATACTATATTATCATAGAGTTTTAATTATATGTGTTTATTAAATATAAATCACATATTATACATATACATACTATATGTAAAATGTAAATTATTATTTTTTATTATAATTAATGTAGAAAAAAGAATCACGCAAAAAAACGAACAAAGAAAAATCGTTAAGAATCCTACATATTTGGTGTTTAAGAGGTGGCAACGCTCGTTTTTCTCATAATTGTAAATAATCTAACCTTTGCAACGCCGAGTTCGCTAAGTGATTTTTAAATTAATAAATTTAGGTGAAATATTACAAAATAAAATTGAAATGTGAACTTATTTCATTGTTTAGAGTGTATATTAAATATACAGAGTGAAAAACGTGAATAAATTTAATGGAATATAGAGAAATACCTTGTGTTATTGGGGCATATTTTTGTACTTTTAATCGTGAAAATTTTAAAAATTATAAGTAATTTTTATATTATTTTTGGATGTTCCTCCCCTATCCGGACATACCCCATTTATACGGAAATTCGGTTTTTTTTTTACCCCTCCGCCAAAGTAATCGGAATCGTGCCCAGATTTACATATCACAAATTGAGAGGAATTATCTTTTTGTGGATACAATACTGGTAATTGTAAATAGCACAAAATGATCAATGTTTTTTTTTATACTGTGTTTTAAGTAAAAAAGTTAGGTTTATAAAAAAATCGAAATTAAACAAGAAATCCACCAATCAGGCTCTAGTTTTTCGTGTATAATTGTATAAATTGCATTGATATCTATAGAGCGGTTTTCGGTTAGTGATCACAAGTTTTGAAAAAAACTCATTTGAAGTTTTACCATTTACAAATTATGGAATAATTCAAAAACTTTCGTCGAATTTACTTATAATTTTCTAAGAATCTTTAAAAATGCAAACAAAAAAAAAAGATTTTATTTTAAAAATTCTGACCGCCTTTATCCTCATAACTAAATTAATTATTAAATATTTTTTAAGATTATGCTTAATTTCAGTTCATTGCTATGAAGCTATTAGAAGTGAAGATAGTATTTTAGAATAAAATAAAGTTGCATAATATAAGGAAAACGGCTCACAGTAATAGTCAGATGTAAAAATGTATAAATAAATGACGTATTAATATATTTAATTCTTAATTCAAAATTAAATTAACAATATCCTCATAATTGATCAGACGGTTAAAGCATCTGAAAAAAGTTAGTAACATTTTATACTATAAATATATTATGGGCATTTTAAATACATTACTTGTTTATCATTAATAATTTGTACACCACAAATTGTTGCAGAAGAAAGGAAAACACTAGAATATCTTAGTTCAATAGGCGATTACTATACTATGAACAGGGTTATTAAGTTTGTCACGAAGTTTGTAACACCCAGAAGGAAGGGTCGGAGACCCTATAAAGTATATATGTATATAAATGATCAGTATCTGTCTGTCTGTATAAACGAACTAGTCCTTCAGTTTTTAAGATATCGTTTTGAAATTTTGCAAACGTCATTTTCTCTACAAGAAGCTGCTCATTTGTCGGAACTGCCGATATCGGACCATCATAACATATAGCTGCCATACAAACTGAACGATCGGATTCAAGTTCTTGTATTGAAAACTTCACAGAAAGTGAAATACATTTTCATTGTTTCAATGTATTTTCACAAAAGTGGGCACAGGCTATTTTCTAAAGCAACAAAGTAATCTCCGAAGAAATTGGTCAGATCGGTTGACGATAGCATATAGCTGCCATACAAACTGAATGATCGGAATCAAGTTCTTGTATGGAAAACTTTCACATTTGACGTAATATCTTCACGACATGAATTACTGCTTAAGGTAACAAATTTAATATCCAAAAAAATTGTTCAGAACGAATTAATATAGCATATAGCATTCATATAAACTGAACGCAAAGCTACTAACAGAAATGCACCTGTGTAAGGTTGTTGTTGTTTTAAAGGTGTTAGATGGGTGGGGCTGGCTGGGCATGCAAAGAGGTGGTCAGTGTCATGCGGAGACTCGTTGCATGCAGGACATACATTAGGTATGTCAGAGTCTATTCTGGATAAGTAGGAGTTTAGCTTGCTACAATATCCRGAACGAAGTTGCGCAAGGGTCACTCGTGTTTCTCGCGGCAACTCGAGCTCCTCGTCTGCTATGTGTGGTGGTTTGACTCCTAGTACGCCATTCACGGCAAGGGAGTCGGTGAAGGTGTKGATGGCTCCACTGTGAATGGCGGTCAGTGCCTGTCGAAAGTCTGTTGCGTCCGAGGTCCTGTCGGGGTATTGTACGATATCGTCGACGTGGACAAGGAATTCTCTCTTGATGCTCCTAGGAGGCGGTTCCGCTCCAAGCAGATAATTGCAAGGATGATTTCTACGAAAGCATCCTAGTAGGAACTGCTTGGAGAGGAGTTCATTATGCTCCTTAACTCTGAGACATCAATAGGCATCCTGTCGTAGTCCGGAGTGCTGTATTCTGGCAGGTCTGGAGTTTCCTCATATGGGTGCCACTGCATCCAGACGACCATATGGGTGCTGCGTAGTGAAGGACCGGCCGGCCGATTGCCTTGTAAGTTGCCAACAACGTTTCTTTGTCTTTTCCCCATGTGCTGCCGGCAAGCGACTTGAGGATTTTATTGCGGCTCTTTACTTTGGCGATAATCGCGGTCGTATGAGGAGAGAAGGAGCATAGACTGTCGAAGGTGACACGTAAAATCTTAGGGTTATTGACAGTCGGAATTTTGACGCCGTCGACTGCAATATTAAGTTCCAGTCTATACTCCTTCSTCCAGTTCGTGAATATGGTCGCTGTGGATTTGGAGGGGAAAGTTGGAGGTTCCGTGCAGTGAGGAAAATGGAAAGATCGGTGAGGTAGTTGTTTATCTTCGAACACATGCCATTGATTCCATTGCCCGACGTCAATATCGTACAGTCATCTGCGTATGAGGTTATGGAAACCCCCTCTGGTGGTTGCGGGAGTTTCGAGATGTAGAAGTTAAACAGTARYGGGKAGAGGACACCACCCTGCGGAACCCCCTGTTTAATTCTTCTCAGTTTAGACGTTGCACCTCGAAATAATACGGATGACTGACGACCGTTCAGATAGTTCATGGTCCACCTCTTGAGCCCTTTCTCAATGTCCTGCAGTAGCGTTGTGTGGTTGACCGTGTCAAAAGCTTTTGACAGGTCCAAYGCTACGAGGATCGTTCTCTCACAGGGTGGTTTCTGGTTGAGACCACGAACTATCTGAGCGTTTATGACGTTAAGTGCTGTGGTGGTATTGTGCACTTTTCGGAATCCATGCTTAGATGGTGAGTGAAGGTTGGGAGTAACAAGGTCTCAAGTGTCTTCATTACTGGGGGGAGGAGAGTTATCGGTCGATTTGTTGATGACACCCTGAACCTCCTCATCGGTGAAAGTGAGTGGTGCGCCGTCGTTTGGCATTTTGCGCAGCCGTCGGTTAACACATGGTTTGGCTTTGTCTACCGAAGGGTGCAAAGTAAACTGCCGGCTAAAATGGCTCGCGCACTTCTTCGGGTCCGAACAGGCATGACCATTGAATTGAACTTCAACTCGGTCGTCGTGACTCTTCGGGTTAGACAAAGCTTTGACAGTAGCCCAAAGCTTACTCACACCGGTGGAGAGGTTGCAGGACTTCAGGTGCTCCATTTTGTCCGCTTATGATGGTTTACCATACGCCGAATCTCCAAATTGAGATCCCTTATTCGGGGATCTCCGGGATCGGCATTACGTAAGGTGTCGCGCTCATTAGCTAAAACGGCTGCTTCGGCTGGGAACCTGTGAAGGGTATTTAGCTTCGCTGCAACCGAACGTTAACGTTTTTTCTTGATTTTTTTTTGATATTTATTTTTTTAATTTTTTTTAAATTTTTTTTTTCTTTTTCATTACTATTATTTTTGTTTTATTGTTTTTTTTTTTTTAGCTTTTCTTGTTTCATTAATGCATTATTACAATTTTAATCATATTTCCATCACAAAGTCAACATAAAAGCTTAGCGAAGTTGCTGTTGTTGCTAACATTAAAAAAACGCAAAATCCCCCTTTAAGCAGCATAACAAAGCAAAACAACAACACGAATATAATGCCAAATAATAGCGAAAAGAAAATGTCATCAAAGATTAAATTTCAAATGGCAAAATTTGCGATTACCGTTACACGAAAAGGGATTAAATTTAATACAATGAACACAATACGAAATGAGTTTGAATGGGGAGTGAATGGATTTTATGCGATGCTGAGGAAATAGTTGCAGTTTCNTTTTTATTTTTTAATTTTTTTTTGTTTTATGTTTTTTGTTTTGCTCCAAAATCCGTGTTTTCCGGTATTATCAACATCAACTCAATCCGTCAAAAAACGTTTCGGTTGATGTGTTGTTGACCCTCATTGATTTTGTGGTATTAGCGATTTCAACTCTGGCAATGAGGTTAACAATTTCAAAAAAATTCCAGTTATCACCTAGCATTTGCGGTTTAATAGTTTTATGAATAGCAGAAACATTCCTGTATGTATAAATCTGTGATGATAGTTCTAGTTGTAACAAAACAGCTGTTCTTTTAACCAACAGCTACAAATTGCTTCCCAAACCAAAAATTTCTATGGAAACTCTGTTTTTTTCGTGTTTTAAACCCTTAAAACATTTCCTCTGTCTTTAAACACTTCCTCTTTGAACTTCAATTTAAATTCACACCTGGAAGCTGAGAAAAGTCCCCAGGCATACAAGTCTTATCATCCATAATGCAGCAGTCAATGTTTTTAAAGATATGAAGGTAGCTTGCTCTTTTGCCGGATTGTTCTTTTTTGGAATACTGCCTGGAACTTTCTGGAAGTTTTAGAACTCTAGTTTTTCCGCTATTGCTCTTTTCTTAACTACCGTCAGCGTTCTTAAAACCTTTCGTTCTATACTGTACGCTTTAACAACAAGCGACAGGGTATTCCTGGACATTTGCGTATCGAATTTTATTGAAACTTGACAGGATATTTTGTAAAGCCAGCTTCATGTGAAAAAAAATTAAATTTGAAATTTTAAATGATAATTCTAGGAGGGAAAAAGCTACAATCGTATAACTCACTACAGGGCGGTTGCTTTTGCAATATTACACCACTGCACGAAATGCAAAAGTTTAAAAATTTTTTTTTTTTATAATCTAGGATATAGATTTCTAACAGGTACTTAAAACAATGCAAAACATAAAACCGAATAAAGAGAAATAGCACATTTTGAGCATGTAATAAAACAACATTTATTATTAATAAGCAGCAGTACTTGAAAAATAATTAAGTTATGTACAAAAAATTAAAAATTTGTTTTCAATAATTCTGTTTAAAAAGATTTTTGATTTTTCATTGCGTATTTTGGTCTGGACATATAAATAACACAGGAGTCGGCTTCTGCGGAATATAAGAAAATTTACTGGAAATAATTTAAGTACTATTGACTTTAGTTACTCACAAGGTTTACTTTATAGTATGTCCACTATTTGCTAGGTATCGTCGGACAAACCAGATGGAGAAGAACCTGGCTTCGTTAAGAATCTCTAATTGGCGCCACATTACGGAAAGAAGAAACGCTGGCGCGCTGTTGTTAGTGCGGCTATAACCGCGTTAGCGTCGTTTAGGCCAGTAAAGAAGAAGAAGAAAGAAAACTGATTTGAATATTTATTTTAAAAGTGTGCTATTGCACTCTATAGGCTGTACTTATTTGGGGAGAAAACAAATATAAAAAAATAATTAGCTTGAAAAAAGAGCAGCAAAATTTAACTGGATTTTAAATGCGTATTCTAAACTTAGTATCGTCCACAAAACGCGATAATAAAGAAATGTCAGACGACCAAAATTAATTCGCATCGCGATACACATAAAAACAGTTAAGCATAGGGGTGGCAATAAAACGGTTTGGGGTTATTTCTCCTAATATGAAGGCGACCCTATTCATCTTATTAGTGATAAAATGGACAAATACAATTACAAAAACATACCGGAAGAAGTAACAGGTAAGGTAAGGAAGAAAATAATCGGTTTCATCATAAAATTATGGATTAGCCGAGACAATCACAACACCTGAAATCAATTGAAAATCTTTGGATAAACTTGATAAAGAGAATCGGGAAGCAAACCTTCAAACCGAGTTCAAAAAGTGATTGATAATCATAATAAACACCATGGTTTTTAATAAAATTCAATACATTTTTTACGTTTCTGTAAAAACGTTTTTATTTTCTATTAATAATAATATATAATTATACATACTCGTACTTAAATGACGACATGAATTTGAGATTTTTAACCGTATTATTATTAATTTACGTTATATAATATATGCCATTTGAATTGGCATTAATGTGTGGTTTTTTAATATATCAAATAAAAAATGTATAGAATTAAATGTCTCCTAATTATTTTTTTAAAAACTCGGTTATTTAAAAGAAAAATTAGTGGTACCTATTTTAAGTATATTTTAACAGGTTTTTTTTGTGAGTTTTATTTGAAAAGAAGAATTTGTTAAATAAAAATTATAATAATGTACATTTACAAACTTTAATATATTTAATTAATTGGCATTTCGGTATTAAAAAATTTTTGATTTTCTTGATTCCAAAGCCGATCTCCAGGAGCTGCTCCGAAAAAATTGTCTGGTTGTTTAAAATTATCTGAAATTGAAAATACAAAAGAAAAAAATATTTAAAGTAAATACAGGATATTTTCAAATATACATTCATATGTACATTCCATACATAGGCAAAATAAAATTCATGTTTTTGAAAATCACAAATGAATATAACATCAAAGGAAGCCGCCTTTAAAATTTTACTATTTCGTAAACTCGAAAATAAAATACTATTATCATTAAAATACATTTCCTTAATAGAGACGGCATTCAAAAGAGTGATTAAGACATTTATCAGACTAGGTATTGAAGGGTTTGCTCAAGTTATTTAGCTCTCCACACATTTTCAGTGCTCCGTGTAGTGTTAAGCAGACAAGTTAAATAATTTTTGTGTTTGTTGTTAAAAAAAAGACGGTTTTCTAGGTAAATACTTACCATATGTAATTAAAGGTTATTTTTCGCTGGCAATGATGTTGTTTCTATCAATTTTATCAAGACAATTTAAAATTGGCGCTGTGTCATTTGTGTAAGTGTTTGAAAAATTAAAATAATTCAAGACATGTCTAATGTCAGTGACACTACTATAATGCCCAATGATTTGTGTAGTTGTTAGTCACAATTTTTTCAATAAAAATATGAAGTTGCCTCTGGTATGATGCCTATAATTTTTTTTTAATTATTGCTTTAACTTGCGGTATCCAATATGTACCATATACATATGTATGTTCTTTTGTTCTTATTAAATTTTAATCCGTTTTTTATCTACTATTTGCATTAATTATATTTATTCCTTACAAATAAATCTAATAATCGGTTGGTTTTCATCCCAATTTTGATTCTACAGGCCAATCGATGGGTCGCAGTCGTACACGAAGGGCGGCGGCGCACTTGGTCAGCAATCTACTCACTCGGCCGCAACAGCAGCAGCAGTCGCTGCCGCCGCCCAGCAACAACTACATCAGCAAATGCATCAAATGCATCAGCAACATCAACAGCAGCAGCAGCAACAGCAGCAGCAACAGCAACAACAACAGCAGCAGCAAGCTGCTCAGCAGCACCAGCAGCACCAGCAGCAGCAAGCCGCTCAGCAACAACAGCAGCAGCATCATCTCCACCATCATCAGCAGCAACAGCAACAGCAGACCGCCCGTTCTGCAGCTAGTCCTCTATCACCACCACGACCCGGTCCAGGCTCAGCGGCCGCCGCCAACACGTACGCCAAGTTTGCGGAACTCAGTGCAGTGCGGGAAGCGCCGCATCCCTATATCCAGCAAACTTCGTATGGTATTGGTCCACCAGGCGCTCAATATCGTGACAACCCCTACACGCGAATACCTCAGATGGCACCCGATTTTCAACGAGCAGCAGCAGTTGCCGCAGCGGGTGGTAGCGCGCAAGTGCCCACCAGCGTTGTGCAAGTACCGGGAGTTGGACTACAGCCACCACCACCTAGTGTTGGCAGTGGATCCCACCTTGAAGCTTTACATTTCGCGCATCAACAGCCATCTTCAGGACAACAAGCGGTCAATGCAGCGCATGTTCTCAGCGGTGCGAACGTTGGAGGCGGAGGCGGTAATGCAGCATCGCCTCTAAATGCAAACAACGCAGCAGGCAATGCTAACTTAATACGCCAGCGAATAATACTGCCAGCGCATCACTATTCCAGTGAATATCTGGCGAACGCTAATGCTGTAGCGGCAGCGAATGCGCGCAGCCAGCAGCAACATCAACAACAGCAGCAGCAACAACAACATCAACAGTTGCCACAGGCTCCACCCGATCCGGGGGGACAGCCTTACAAGAAAATGCGACTGACAGAAACGACGGCAAATACAGTCAGCAACTCAAACCACCTGCCACCCAAAGTAATGAATGCCGCGCAACCACAGCCACGTCAGACATCACCATCTGCTGCATCGCTGGCGGTCGCGCAACAGCAACATCAGCACCAACAGCAGCAACAACAACAGCAGAAGATCATAGCTGGAGGTAATTTTCGTAACAGTGCATCACAAATATTGCACCAGTCCCTTCCACATTCGCATTTGACCGTAGTTTCAAGCAGCCACGTGGTTAATACCCAGCCACCCCCCTCAGCGATGCAACAGTTGAAAGTGGATACCCAACCACCAATGTTAACATCAGCGGGTACACCACCTACTAATCGCAGTATTACAAGTACAGTGATGGGTGGAAGCAGTGGTATGGGAGGAGTTGGCATTGGCGGTAGTGTCAGCGTCTTAAATGCTCCGCCAAACGAATCCTTTTTGATAGCAAGTAGTGGCACAGTTGCACCTCCCGTGAAATCTTCGTCCTCATCTGAGGGATACCATCCGCAAGTTGAAGCCATCTCACCCACACTGCCAAACGACAACGTCGAGGAGCGTGGCAGCGCCGTCACGGAGGATCTGCTAACGCAAATACAGAAGGTGGACGCAGATATACAGAGTGCAGAAAATACGATGGAGACGTTGCGTAAGCAGGAAAAAGGCCTCAATGACAAGGTCATACTGAGCAAACAAAAGCGTGAGCAGGAAATACTTGCTGCTGAGAACGATGATGCAGTAAAAATGGAGCATACCTGGAGATTGCAAACATTAGCGCAAAAAATATACGAGGCGAACCGTAAAACGGCGGCCGCGCAACATTCCATACTCAACCATTGCGGTAACCGCATCACATTGCCGTTGTATAATCAGCCGTTGGATGTAGAGCTACTGACGACGTTAATTAAACGGCATCAAACGATAGTGCGCACGCCATTGTTGGAGCACATATGTAAACTGAAACATGAACGTTGGGAGCACAACAGCGGGTTGGTGGAAACATATGCGCAAATGTCCAGTGAATGGCAAAAGCGCGTCGAAAAGTCGGAAGGCAGTGCGAAGCGAAAGGCACGGGAGGCTAAGAATCGCGAGTTCTTTGAGAAAGTCTTCACGGAGCTGCGTAAGCAACGGGAGGACAAGGAGCGCTTCAATCGCGTTGGTTCACGTATCAAATCTGAGGCCGACTTGGAGGAAATCATGGACGGTCTGCAAGAGCAGGCCATGGAGGATAAAAAGATGCGTTCATATGCCGTCATACCACCACTGATGTTTGATGCTCGCCAACGTCGTTGCATCTACCACAATGAAAACGGCTTTATTGAGGATATGGTTGCGGTTCATAAAGAGCGACAGACACTGAATGTGTGGACCGCAGGCGAAAAAGAGATTTTTAAAGAAAAATTCTTACAGCATCCGAAGAATTTTGGCGCCATAGCGGCCAGTTTGGATCGCAAGTCGGCACAGGATTGCGTACGCTACTACTACCTCAGTAAGAAAACGGAGAATTACAAGCAACTACTGCGTAAGTCACGGCAACGTACGCGATCGTCACGAAACCCGCAAAAGGCACAACAGCAACAGACACAGTGCATTATTGATTCACTGACGACAGGCGTAACAACTCGGTTGCAACGTGAACAGCAACAGAAGACAGGCGGGCGTTCTGCTGCAGCGGAGCGAGAACGCGTTGAACGAGCAGAGCGTGCCGCGGAACGCGCAGCAGCGGATGCGGCAAAAGCTGCAGCAACTGCTCACGCAAAGTCCACTAATAAGGGAGACAATGGTAACAATGCTACTGCGGCAGCATCCGAAACCACCATCGTCGCAGACTCGACTGAAGTAGCCAAAGGCAAGGCGAACGCTACATCCACTGCAGCTCAAAAATCTAACAACACGTCCAATAACAGCAACAGCATAACTGTTACTACTGCCACGACAACGGCGTCTACAAAAGCTGGTGAGGTTGAAAAAGCTTCTGAAAGCTCAGCAGCTGGTCAACATGCAATAACCGCAACGACAGATGACGCACAGAGTGGCACTGCGGCGAAAGCGAAAAGCGACGACACGAATGCCAGCGAAGCAAATTCAAAAAGTACAATTTCAACATCGACGCTAGCTACCACAGCCACCAATGCAACAAGCAATGCCTCAAATGTGGATGAAAATAGTAGAAAGTCGCTAGCAGCTTTCGTACCAATTGCGGCGAATAGCGAAATGGATGTGGATAGTAAAAAACTGATGGACGAAAAGAGTGTCGTTGTTCGCACCAGTGGTAGTGGTACTAATGTTCCACCAGCGGACACGAACACCTTCAGCGTCACAAATGTCGTGCCTGGCATGATACATCATCCGCCTTGTGTCGTTCCGAATGGTATCAAAACTATTTATGCTACCACAATGGCTCAGGCGGTGGCTGCAGCTAGCGCCAATGAAGATGTCAAAATGATTGCTGTGGCCGATAAGATCGGCGCAGCGGCAACAGAAGCAACGGTCGCGGCTGTAAACACCTTAGATGCTGCCAGCGGTATTAAGGTGAGCGCTGGCAATAGTGTGGCCACGCCCACTACCTCAACAACCGCTGGAAATTTTCTCGGGCAAAAACTCAAAGCGGCGCAAGTGGAAGGCGTTGGTGCCGGTAATGATGTCAACTCAGATGTTAGGTGAGTATCAACTAAAATAAGTACCCATTGAAATATTTTCTATTATAATTTGCAAAAAAGGTAGGTAATGGTCATTAAGGTTAGACTAGGGTGAAAAGAAAAGGCAGATCTTCTATATATAACGTATATATGATAATGTTCTTCAAAAATCTTATTAAGCTACAATATTTATTTAGCGATTCACCTTCTTAAGTCCACAACTACGAGTTGTTTTAACTCTCTTTTCAAAAATTATTATTATTATTATAATTTAAGGAACAAGGTTTAATATTTGGAACTTATCGTTGAAAACAATTCATATCTAACAGCTAAACTTTCCAAGAATAATTTTTTATGAAGATATACAAAAGTCAATTTAAGTAATTTAAAATATTTCAAGTTGAGATTTTAGTGCCTTGAATTCTTCTTGACTTCGCTGCTTTGTTAAAGTTTAAAAGGTCCACAAAAAGTATTTCATGTGAGATTAAGATATATGTAGACATCAAGAGAAATTGCAATCATAATTCCGTTTTCGACATGATCATATTATTGATATCACCGAAATCGGGACTTAATCTGTTTTTTTGCAGATATGTGTAATGCACGATTTCTAAAAAATTACTAATATTCCTCTCTTTTCATCACAGTGATCCAAAACGGAAGCGTCTCGACGTCACGACGAACGTAGATGGCTCCACCATAAATTCCTCCTCCTCCTCCACAACTACAAAAAGCAACAGTAACAACACTTCCTCCTCCTCCACACTAACCAACTCCACTACGAATCTACACACTCTTAGCGGTAATCCTGCAAATAACAATAACAATTCTATGGATGTTTTAACTGGAGCTGGCTTGGTGATATCCACACCACTCGTCGATGTTTCGCTCACAACAACATTGACTACGAATGTTGTGGCGACGCCGGCTTCCAATGGCAGCGGTGTGACCCTCAACACCACACCGGTAACTGCAACATCAATAACGTTTACAACGACTGAAGGCAACAATGCCATCGACGGCAAAGGTAAGTGGCACAGAAAAGTTGACATATTTATCCTTATACTTTGCTATTTTTAATAGTAAAGAACGTGAGCGAAATGAGAAAAGTTGATATCGTGATTTTTTGTAATTAATAGAATTAACAGTAAAGTACGTTAAAATGTGTTGGTATTAATACAAATGTAATGCAAAATACCTTAAAACGATTGAATGGATGCAAAACCGCAGCAGCTATATTGCCAAAAGTGAATATTTAAGAAGCTTCAGAAAGCAGCGCATGGTTAAAAGGTAAATTTGCCGAAGACACAGTGCAGCAAAAGGACAAGCAGCAAACTGCTGGAAGGGTGTGCTGTGATAAAGCAGCGCTTTGTAACGACACACGAGTTTGTATGCATGTGTGCATGCTCATGTTTGTCAATCGCATATACATAGTATGTATGCATATGCTTATATACCAGAAAGTTAAATCAACTAGTTATGAATTATGGTACTTTTCGACTAGTATAAATCACAATCGGAACTAGATAGTCGACTGTCTTGCTTCCATACAAGCAACTGACATTTTGTACGTGTTGATGTTTAAGAAAATCATTGCCTAACTACGTTTGAAATATGGCCAGTCATACCATAATTGTCGAAATTTAGATGAAGAGGGTCCATTACAAAGTAATTGAATAATTGATATAGTCCGCTGATTTTTTCTTAACTTAAAAAACTCAAAACAAAAATTTCTAGTCCTGAATTGGCATACATACATATGTATGTAACTAGTTTACTGCTTCATTGCGGGGTGCAGGTAAGTTTGTCTGCTTGTGAGTGGTCGTGCTTTTGTGTGACGAACTTAAACAAAATTTTTAATTAAAAAGACACTTTTTGACATCAATCCAACCGATCAGTCTCATTACCCACTCTCGCATACGGCAGCTTTTCTCTCTACCTCGACCGCAATGTACGAAGGCTAATGGCCTTTTGTTGACCTGCTCCCACTCCCACACACACAGTCAGACACACGTGTTTGTATTAACCGAGAATTTATTCTCTTTTTACATTTTCTTGCCGCTCAATAATGTGGTCTTATTTTGTTGGATTGTGCTTTGATCGCCGCTGATTTACTTACACATGTACAAATATATACATACATATGCATATGTATGAAAGTGCTCATGCATAACTTTGTTCTTTGGCTTAAAATTTTAAAGAATACTAATATATGATGCACACTTAAATAAAAACAAATGACAATTTGTTTTTCTTTTGTTTTCAAATGCTGCACCTAAAAACTCTTAAGGTAGAACTACATATAAAGTAGAGATGAATACCTCAGAGCCGCTGATACTATTAAAGAATCGAAAGACAGTTTTATAAGCTTCACTTCATAGCATAATTTCCATTAGTTTTTCCATTCGAAACTATTACCATTGCTCCTTTTTTGCCCTGAAAGGTAATATTAAGTTGGCCCTTAAAATAGCACCGTGACGAGTTGAGTCGATTTAACCGTGCCCACCTGTTTGTATATACACGAACTAAACTTTCAGTTTTTGAGATATCGATCTGAATCTTGCACACGTCCTTTTCTCGAAAAGCAGGCGGAACTATAAGCTGTCATACAAATTAAACGATCAAATAAATGCCATTGTACGGAAAACTGTTTTATTTTACGAGATATCTGCACGAAATTCGGCTTGGATTATTCACCAAGACAAAAGTACAATCTCCAAAGAAATTGTGCAGTTCGGCACACAGTAACATGCTAGGTTGTCAAAAAAGTCTTGCGGTATTTTCGCTAGTTGGCGCTGAGAGCGCGTAGTTCTAGTTTTATTCGTCGCATCGGGTCATGCTATACCTTTTTGGAAAGCACATTTCACGCGCTAACACGTGTTTGATTGATTGTCGTTTCTTTTAAGTCGTTCGTAAGTTATAGCGGCGCAAACGGTAAAGGTAAAAATGCATCTCATGCCGCCAATAAAATTTATGCAGTTTATGGACCCGATACAGTTCCCATTTCCACCGCATAACGATGGTTTCAACGTTTTCGTTCTGGTGTAGAGGTGGTCGAAGTTGCGCCACGCTCCGGAAGGCCTGTCGTCGAAAATTGCGATAAAATCGCTAAATTGTTCGAAAGAGACCGGCATAGTAGCAGCCGTAGCATCGGTCAAGAGCTGGGCATGAGTCATCAAAAAAAATTTTATGAACAATTGAAAATTCAATAAAAATACCTCAGGAAATACGGCAAGACTTTTTGACAATCTATTTTACATAGATGCGATACAAATTGACCGATCGAAATCAGGATACTGGTCTTTTATTATACCCTTTTTTGTTATGAAAAAATGCATCAGTGTAGGGTACTCTGGCTACGGTTATGACGAAGTTAACGTTGTTTCTTGTTATTCGTTTTGGCTGCGACTGTGATTCTCTTCGGTTATATTCAGGGGTGTGGTGGAATCCAAGACAGAATTGCTTACCGCAATTGCAAACCAATTCTGACTTTCAATGGTGTCACAAAATATGTCTGGATTTACGTCTTTTCGAACATACGCAAAACCAATATTCGAATCAGCTATCAGCAATGTAACAAACCTTGCAAATGAATACATTTGGAAGCAATCCTATTAAAGTTTTCAATGAGTTCCGAATTAATGAGATATTTTAAGAGATAACATTTGTTGAATTAATAAAGACATATGCTTTTAGATATTAAATTACGTTTATTACGTTTTGTAAATCTTAATATCTTTAAATATCCATATTTTTCACAAAAACTCAATAATTAAAACATTTCGTGTTTTAAACTTATGTTTTCCCCTATACAAATAAAGATAAATTAATTCGAAATAGTAAAATAAGTTGATTTCTTAACTTACATTTCAAATCTGTGAGTGACTATCTTCTTGCTTTGTTTCTGATAACAAAACCAATAAAATTGGTTTCCATGACACCCAAAACCGATAAAAATTCTGTTTCGAATATCAAACGAATAATATCTGATTTCATGACATCTACTACTGTTGTTGTTGTTGTAACGGCAGAATTCTGCCGAGTTGACAGTCCTTGGCCGGATAAAAATCCGGGTCCGTTCCGGTTTTCGTAGACCCGACTGTCGTGGGAACGGCATCACATCTACTACTCTTTTTGGTCGGTTTCAATTCTGATTCCGATAACTATCAGATTCCACCACACCACTGATTATTTTCATATTTTTTAACAACTTAATTTTTTCACCTGTTCATCGTTTTTTAAGTTTATCCGTTCAGGTTCATTTATCATTGACTATCCTTGAAATGTTAGTGCTGCTTTAGATCCTATCCCTATGTACACATGTATGTATGTAAATGCTGTCATATCTTTCTCACCCTTGACATCGTGCTCAGCGTGTCCACCGGCTCTTGCTTTTATTCAATTTATCCATTAACACATATGAACATCCTCATGTACAATGCATTCGCTTATTCGCATATTCACATATGCATATATGTGTGTGCGGTTTTGGTCGTAGGTAAGTGTAAGCTGAAAAAAGCATAGTGTCAAACCCTTTCGTATACACACTGACTCACATGCAAATATATATATGTGTATATACATATATATGTAGGTGTAAATATCCATTTGTATATGCGTATGTGTATATATAAATTACCAATTAGCTCACTTTCCCTACTTGTAGCAGCAGGTGAAAAAAGTATGACAAACTTTTATATATTTGTAAAAGGGAAGCAAAAAGTTCGCCCCCTTCTGTATTTCCCATATGCCCCTTGGTAGAGCTGCCGCCTAGAGGCAATACCGGAAACAGTGAATTTAAATTGCCTCTTTAAATAAAAAAATAAATGCACAACTGAAGGTACCGCGGTAACAGCGCGCGAAAAAACGCAACATACTTTCAGGCGCATCATCCCCCTCAAAAAATATTGCGCATGCCAGCTGGCAAAACTGTTTTAATTAACAGATTCTACTTTAGCGCAACGACAGCAAAAAGATAAAATGCAGTAGCAATCGGAAAGCACGTCAAGTTTAATTGCTGTCGCCTGCAACATTTTGTCACACTCGCGCTGTTTCTAATACTGTTTGTATTGCAGCAAAACGCCGACGCACTGATTTTTTATAATAACAGTTTTTGCCCTGACACTGGCACTAAGCAAAGTGGGATTCTCACTGTGGCCCGTTAGAATTTTTTGATCAATTTTGCACTTTATTTGCATGCCTTGCTGTGCTCGTTAAAAATGTATTCGTTGGCCCAAAATGCTGCTCCCCTCTTCTCACGTTCCGCCTTACCTTACAAACGGCAGCATATTGCCGCGTTTGGACGCCAAAATGCACAAACCTTAATCTGTATACTTGAAAAAAAGTGCTTTTTTTTGTAAAATTTTATTTTTTACCAGCGCAATACTTACATAATTATTCAGCGTTTGTTTTTTTTTTTGTTGTGTCACGACTCGCCCACAATTGAATTGCTATGTTTTTACACAATCATATTTTTTCGCTTCTATTGTGCAGCATTTGAATTTTTTTATTGGCGCTAATGAGTTTTAATATCAATTTGCGCAAAAATCAGCGTTTTTATAATTCTAATTGGATATTTTTTACAGAATAATATATTTATTATTTCCGCTTAAATTTTCTGTGCTAATTATTTTTTATTTTTATTGATTAGCTTTTTTGTAAGTGGGTTCTTAACTGCTGAAAATTGAAAACAATGCAAAATTTAATTTTCTCTGAAACTTAATTATATAATTTTTGCATTTAATGCATTTTTTACGGTAAATTAATTATTTTTAGTAATTGCAATAAAAGTATCAGCGCTTTTTGTTAAAAATAGAATTAAAGATAGTAAATTAAATTTTAATGAGAAATAAAATAATATATTTGAAATATTTTACTGAAATGCAGCTTAGATCAAACAATAGATTAAATACTCTTTTTGAAAAAAAATAATTCAGCTTTATCGGGACGAGTCGAGCAAGTCCGCGTGTCAACGATCTCTCGACCGTCTTTGAAGGCTTGTGGGCTTGTGTTTTTGTTAAAACTCAATCATCGTAAGGCTAACAATTCGCAATTCTAATATTTGCAACGATTCCGCACACGATATTTGGTTAGAAATACAAAATTTTAGACAAATTCTTGGACCATCGTAAAAACTGCAACGCAAGTTAAGCAGCTCTGTAATCAAACTGGTTGACAGATCGCGCTCATATAACAATTAAGGGCAGTCTTACCAACTTGCAATCACTAAGCAAGTTCTTGTATGGAAAACGTTTATGTTTGTAAAGATATCCACGAAATTTCTCATGAATTATTGTTCAAGGTAGCGCCACAGCAATTTGCAGAAAATTTTCGGATCGGACCACTGTAGCATATAACTGCCAATACAAACTGAACGATAAAAATAATTTTTTTGTATGTATAATTTTTTTGTGAAGCGTAATATATGTAAGTTCGGTGCAACTGAAGCTTACCTTTTTTCTTCCTTTCATTCAACTGCTCCAATAATCCCCAATTAACGGATACAAATTTTATGATGCCATAATTTATGCAAATATTATGTTCCGTATACTGCTTCATTGGCCTTTCATGCACCTTGTGGCGCTGTAATGAGTATTAATTATATTGGAGCGTTGTGTAAGGAGTACAAGAGCAAATATTTGATTCAGGTTCATTTAGCTCTTATTTCAAGCTTATTTGAACAAATGACTAATATCTGATCCCTTCACCTTCGCTAGGGTCTTATTATTCAAATTGTATGATTTTCTTTTCATACTCTTTTTCACCACTAATTATTTGCACAGCGCAAATAAGTATTTAATTAATTTCAAATATTATTGCAATATTCAGGGGCGTACTCTCTTGAACGCAAACGTACTACCCTTTTTAAGCTGCTAACTTTAATTACAGGACTTTGCATAACGCTTGAGCTTATGTTTTATTACTTTGTTCGTATTACTCCATTTGTAAGTGACTTTCTACATATTTTTCATATTTTATTTAACTTGTGCTAAATTAGGTTTAATTACACTTTTTGTTAATTACTTAAATTAATTACAATTAATTAAATTCGTACATTGCCCTTTTTTAGATCTTTGCTTAGCATTTATTATAGTCTTATAAATAATTGCAACAACCAATTTCGTTGCTAATTTTTGGTCAGCAGATATTTGCATTATGAAATATTTTTCCCGAATTTTTGTATACACGTTGTTATTACTCCATAGGGACCTCTGCCGATTTTTCACGCTTACTCTCACCTCCACCATTCCCATTACCGTTTTCGCGTTTGCTCGTGGCATCTGCCGCGGCTGCGGCCTCCTCTTCGGCATGACACATCTTCCGGTGTTTGTGGACGAAATAATAGCTGGGAAATTTACTGCCACATGTCTTACATGGGTAGTATTGCACATTCATGTCCAGCGGACGCACTTCGCGGCGTAGCAACTCGCATGCGCCTTGTTTATTTGTCGCTATCCGTACTGGAATACCAGCGCCACCAGTTAAATCGTAACCAGCACCAGCACATGGTGTAGACTTAGTTGATGGTGTTGCTTTGTCATCGGTATCTGTTGCTGCTCCGAGATTGGTGGCAGCTGCAGTGGCTGCCGCACAATTGAGACTGAGCGGATTGAGATGGCGCTTCGCGTGCTTCTGGTAGCAATATTGTGATTTAAACGTGTGTTTACAATAGACACAGACATAAATATCATTGTTAGCGTTCTTATTGTGCTTCCCATTGCCAGTACCACCAACACCAACACTCGCAATATTACCAGCACCGCCGCTGGATTCACTATTTTCGGATTCTTCATTGGCTGTGGCGAGTTGTCTGTGCTGACTGATCGCTTTTGCCATCTGTTGGTGAAAGGAAAGAGAAACGCTTTGTTGAGTTCGCTCTGGCATTACCGCATAGTCCTCCGGCTTGTGACCGTATGCTGTGTTGAGTATGCGTCTGAAACGCACTGGGCCATCACAGCTCGCGACGTCAATTATTACTTTCGAGCTTTCGTTGTTATCAAGTTGAGAAGCGGGTATGGGAGCGTTGGCAACTTGTAGGCCAGACACGCGGGAGCTTCCTGACTTGTGATATGTACGTGTTTGCTTGCGTCGATCACGTTTGTTTGTGTTGTTTGCGGTTGTTCCATCGTTAACCGACTTGTTACGCGCTATTTCTTTGTCGCGTTCGGTACGCGCTTTAGCTAGTGTAACTGGCGCTTCAGCAACTGTTAAGATAATTTCATGCTCCACTTTGCTGTCGCTAGACTCGTGCTTTCTGTCAGCAGTGTCCTTATCGCGCTGAGAAGAGTGCGAAGTCACTGAAATGGTGCAGTCCAGCTCACCGTCTGCATCAGACTCTGTGTTGTTGTCGATGAAGACTTCAACGTCTTCGTCATCGTCGTCAACATCCGCTTGTTGCATAGGCGATGTGTGGTCAATGTCAATTTCTATGCTGCTCGGTGGGCGCAGTATACCACAACGGTTGCGTACAGCCATTGCGGGAGAGTTGTCGTATACCTGTGGTAACTGCTTGAAGTTTTGGCTGTTATTGGATGCTATGGTAGTTTGGGACTGTTGAAGCTGATGTGTCGCGACGAGGGGTACGAAACCGAAATTTGGGAGAGTAGCCTTACTGGGTATGGGGCGTATGACCTTCGAACATGAGTTTGCACCACCTGATAATTGGGCGGCCAAAGGATTGCTCGCTAAATAGCCTTCGGACTGAGCTCGTGTTAAAAAGGAACTATAAAATAAAAAATAGATTTGCATTAAACACTAAACTTATTAACTGGTAGCTTTTTCCGCATAAAGTAACCCATCGTTGCACCACTTACCGACAAATTTCTAATGCACGTGGCATATGAAGTACATGTGTGGCCAGAAGCACACCAAATATATTTTCCACACTCAAATCTAAGTATCCGGTATACATATAGGTGAGCAATGGGCTGAATTGCTCTGCGGTCACATTGCCCAGATATAAAACTAACTCATTGCCCGCGCCAACAATGGCCGCACTCTCGTCCAGACGAATTGCAGAACGCAAATAACCGCTGTGCATGCCTAACACTATACTGTGTGCTACAAAGCGTACACTGGTCGGACCGGCTGGACCTACTTCGAGCACTACATCAGGCGGCGTGGACATAATGCTAGACGCCACAGATCCAGCAGCCGCAGCGACAGTATCAATCGGCAGCATAACAGGCTCTGCATTTACCGAAACTGTATTGCCATTACTAATGTTACTGCTAGCCGTTGGTATGTCGCCGTTACCAGTGCCACTATTTGAGCCAGTCGTTCCCGTTAACCAATTAGTGAACATATTCTCATCAACAAGCACACGTAATCCCTTTGTGTGTCGTGGAGAAATATGAGTGCAGAAAAAATATATTTAAAATATGCTTTTTAATCCTTCAGTGCTTATAATGTTATATATGTAAATTTTAATTGAGCAATTAGTTAAAGTTAAATTGTCTCTTCTGTCTCTATTACTCTAGTACCTCACGCGTCCGAAATTTCTTTTAAACTGATTTATGACCGTAATTGCGCGCGCGTATTTATAGCCCATCGAGTGAAGCATACATTCAGGCGTACAAAGAAGCTTTCTGCCCATATGGCGGGCTGTTTGACCGGCGGTGTAGTTGATCATCATCATGCATGCAGTCGTTCAGCTGTTGGTCGGTCTGTCGGTAGTCATTCGTGCAGTCAGTCTTTCGTCCTTTTGTATTGTGTGCTTTATGTGTGTGTGCTTTATGTATGTGTGTTTGTGTAGCAGTGCCAGTACGCATATATTTTACTGTTATAATTGGTGTCTCTTTTGGTTTTCACAATGCTAAACGACGACATCACACAAACACAATTACGTAGATATAAGCACACGACTTTTACTCACAAACCTTCTGCTCAGCAGCCACGACTCATTTCATTCCCAAAAGTATATATTTGCGCGAATGCAGATTTCAATATTTTCGACCAATTTGTGGGATTAACTGCAGTCTATCGCTAAAGATATATGTACACACAAGTGCGGCAATGTGCCTGCGGCTGAGCAACGTTTCTTCTATGTAAACAGAGAGCCGTTGCCGAATGAGTGGCATTGGAAAGCGTCTGTTGAGTGATTCCAGGCTGAGTTTATGAGAGAAAATTTGACTATAGGGTGGTCGGAATGGGTCGGTTATTTTATGTTTAAATGTTTCCTTCTTAACGTTAAGTACTAATATAATTCTATTACCTGAATGTATAGAAACTTTAGAATTCAAAACCCTTTTAGTTGTAATGGTTCTTGGAAAGTACCGTCGTCAAATGAAAATAGAGAAAGTGTCAGTTTGAATGAAACAGTAAAAGTGAAAGTACAACTACTTACAAGTTTTTTAAAAAAAATTTTCACTGAAATATGTGCAAATTAATTTTTTTTATAAATTATTTAGAGATTATATAGAGATTTGAATGATATTAAACCTTACATATAACAATGCCATATATTTTTGAATGCTATTGAATCTTAAACATAAAAATTACTTAAAGGAAAATTTTTTAGGCTAGGTTATTGAACCTTAAACAAAACATTTATTGAAATGGATTTTTAAATTATTACTAACATAAAACAAGCTGTCTCTTCTTTGACTTTATTGTGATTAATTCTTGTGAATTCGTGAATAGCCCACCAGTTTTTGTTACCCACGCTTTTGCGCCTAAATATACTCTTCTCTCTCTGTTTATTTTAAGTGTGCTCATTTTTTGCTATAGCTTAGGGCTGAGCATGTGCACTGAGCTCTCACTGCATCCACCACCATTTAGTACGGATGCTTTCTCCTCGTTCGAGTGCGGACGTAGAGTTAGTTTGTTTACTTTTAATTGCCTTAAATAACTGCATCACTTTAATCCAATTTGCATATAATCATTCAACTGCAATCTGTGATGTGACGATTTGCCGATTTCTACCCCAACCTATCATACCATACATCACTAGCGTAGCACACTATTTTGCTGTATGTTGTCGTATATACAAATAGAAGGTTGTGTGCATACACCTTATTTTTGTCTGAACTTCTGCAACGCATACTTTTCGGCTCTTGTCAACAAGGATTTTTATGCTCCCTTGTTGCCCTCTGTTGCTCTGTTGTGTTGTGTCGTGCTTTCATTTGGCCAATTAGCGTGAGCGCGCCATTTTTTTCGTGGCATGCGTTAAACGCCGTGGGTCATGCAACATACATAGATTTTTTCTGACCCGTCGATTCTTTCTGTGGGGCGCTTATTTCTTAGTGCTATGGCTAGGATATGCTTTTCAATTGCCTTAATTGAATTGTTGTGCGCAATCGAAAATCGCTTATCGAGCCAAGCTGCAAATGTGCTTGTATGTTTATCGGTGTCAATGTCTAAAATGGCTTATTGAAGTAGTTTGATGGCACGATACCAGGCTTTCATGGTTTGTGTGGTTGGATTTGATGTAAATTAATTTTTTTGTTTTCGTTTATGCTCGTGTGTGTGGGTATATGATTATGCATTTTCGATTGCGACTAACGCAACCTTTGTGGTTTTTTTGCGGAACTTACTATTTCTTTTTCAAAATAAATCTAGTTTTACTTATGTGTGAATGTATGTGTGCGCATTTTTTCATGCTTCCTATTTACCTTCGTTCCTTGTTGTGTTTACAAGTGATTTGTATCAATTTGAGTTGATTAATTACCGTTTGCTGTGGCCTGAGGTTTGGTTTGTTTGTATTGCTTGACATAATGTGAGCAAATTTCTTCTCTTCAACGGTTGGTTTACGTTTTATTTGTTGGTTTCAGTGAGTTTAAAAACTGTCATATGTACTGCATATCCTTGATATTTTGTAAATTAGTCTTTTACATGCCCATTTGACAGCTCAAATAGTCTTATCTGGTTTAGTTATCTACATGTGTGTAAATATTATGGCTTTTATACAACTAATTTAACATTAGTATGACCAAAACGGGTAGTGTTTGTTGTCTGCTCTGTTCAGCCTAAAATTCGATTCAAATAATTGGAAAAAACATGTCGTTCAAAACTAAAATAGTCCGTAAAAGGTTTTTTTTTATAAATATTTTTAAAGCCTACTTAAGAGAGGAGCATGCTTTAGAAGCTTCAAAAAATCAATTCTTTTTCCTTAAATCTCTTTAAAAATAATCTAAGAATATGTCCCTAAAGTTATAAATGGAAATTCGAAATATTTTCGAAGCTAGAAGTCAGATAGTGACCGAGTGTCTATCAGATATACATACTATGTATTAGCGCTTGGTCAGAAAGCGAAAACTTTGACGCGCGACGGTTTTTCATTTTTACGATTTTTCTTAATTGGCGGGCAGGAAAAAAAAACTAAACGTCGTATAGAATTGGGGCAAAGTTTATAATCTTTGGCATTTAATTATCTTCTATTTTAACTAAAAAAAAAACTAGGAAAAGCCAATTTTGATTATATTTTTAAACAACATAAAGCCAAATTTTATGGTCAAATCCCCTTTTTTTCAATTTTTTAAATTTTTACACTTTTTTTTTTGGAATTTTCTTAATTTAACTAGAAGATAAATTATTACAAAAACATAATCTCTTTGATTTTTTTGTTTCCGATAGAAATTGCGATCTGCATACTGCCCGCCGTCCGACAAATGCACTTGCAATATGCATCGGGCAATTGCTTCCCAAAGGCAGCATATGAAAGATTTCATATCCAAAAAATTTGTGAATGGTGTTTAAATATACAACTATAAACTCTAGAAATTTCGCTTTAATCAATTATTTCTTTCCCTCCCAAAAAAATTATCAAAAAAATCGATTTTTTTAAGCCTCTAAAGCAGGCTTCTCCTCAAGGGTTCAGTAGATTAATCTTTTTAATTTTTTATTTTTTTGCATTTAATTGATTCTAGTAGTAATTTCGATTTTTAAGACCAATTAACTGTTGATTTTTTTCCAAAAATGTAGACAAAAATTTCTTGAGGCCGTCATTTTGTTAATTTTTGAAAGCCGAGTTTATCTATTTATAAAACTAATTTTTGTTGACCGATTGATATTAGATGAATCTCCAAGAACTTATAGTTGTCACCGCAAGTACTTTTTTTGCAACTGGGTCAACATAAACAACTATAACTTTGGAAATTAATTTTTTTTTAATTTTTCTGACTTGAAGTCAACACATTCTATAATAATGCCATATTATTAATACTTTTGTAAAATAACACGATTTAATAGCAAAAAAAAAAAAAAAAATACTGAAAATTCTAATTTTTTCGTGCCTCTGACTACCCCTAACCACTTAAGTTGAAATAACGATTCACTAGTAAACCATCTAGTTTTGAATAAATCAAAATTTAACTATATGTTTTTAACTTAACATTTATTAAATGTTTGAATTTGAATTCTTGTTTCCTATTGTACACAGTTTTTTTTATTGTTTTTTATTAAAAATTTGGCAACAAACCAAAAATCTGCAATATAATTTTGTCTTCTAACTCTGCTCCACTGTTGTCTGCTGTCAGTTTTAATGGCTTTTCGCTGTCAATCGGGTTTAATTAAATCGATTATGAATAATATTCAATCAAAACTGTCCCGTGTATTTCGCAAAGTCAGCAGAAAATGCAACCAAAATGCCAAAGCATACATTTAAGCGCAGACTTTATTGGTATAAAACGAGCGAATTAATATGTCTTCTGAACATGTGTTCATGTGTGACCTGATTATTCGCAGTTATATGTAATCATAGGGAAATACGGTTAATAATATTCAAATGATGAAAAACCTCAAAATTCCATTAACATGTTGCACAAACAACGCCGTATATATGTATGTACATGTACACAATTATGTGAGTATATGTATAGGATAATAATCCTTATGTGCGAAAGTGTTGTGTTGTTCATATTGCAGTATTCATTAGTTTTTTTGTTTGGCTGCCCCACTTACCGCTGTTTGGGCATTTATGTATTATCACAAATTCTTCGTCCCATGTGCCAGACTGCGGGACCAGCATTTCTGTTATTGTTTTTATTTATTTAATTTAATTTCAATCATGTGTGAAAATTAATTAAAATGCCCAATATTCGTAAATTATATATTGAACACAAGTTTTAATATTTTACAATTGCCATGCGCGGTCGTTAGTGTTCGGCCTGTCGGTTGTTTGCTTGGCTGCTTGGTTAATTGAAGCAATCAGTGGAGTTAACTGCGCTACTGTGCTCAGCCTTGGCGGCTCTCAGCGTCCGCTTACCGCCCCATCACTCAAGTGAATTATTGCGCGGGCACCGCTCTACATAACGGCAACACTGGTGCTTTTAATAAATAATAAGCTCGCATACAAAATGCAAAAATATCGCTCATGGCGAAACAACCCGTGAGTTTTCGGGTAGGTGACCAAGAGCAAGGCTGTAGCGAAGTGCCAGTTCCACGAAGAAGT